CCCACAAAATACAGTCAATTCACTTGACAGTCTATTCTGTGAAGTGCTTTGAGATGTCTCAATAAGGCGTTACATCAAATGCAAGGGCAAAGATTATTAATAACGGCACCTGAGTTAAGGGACGACTTTTTATATTTCGTATTCCAGTTCAGCATGGGCTGGGATCGATTGTATTTAAAAGTTTTCGGGGACAAGGAAACACTTCCCCTACTGCTGAGAAACAGTGAAGCACTATTATTGATGCTTTATCAACGCTTACTCGGGGGGAACCATCTGAAAACGTTGAATAATGGAAAAGCAGGCCGTGGAATTTATACATCTATTAATTACCTCCTTCAGACAAGAGCTGCCTATAAATACTGCGCCATTTCAGATAAAACTTTCATGCAGCTGTTTAGCTCCCCTGAAATATAAATGATTGCGTTAAATTTTTATCATAAAATCAGGACATGCGGATACACGCACAGGACAAGACTCTGATTTGTCGCTCCACCCCTTGATGTGAAGGGTGAGCATGTCCCAAAGCCTCTTTAATGCTTCCTTTTTTTTTTTCCATTTGCTCGTTTTACTGCTGGGCTCGAGCAAGGCTGATGGCTCGCTGCAGTTCTGTCACCACTTGGGGATGTGAGCAAACCATCTCGGCTCATCCAGACGCCACAACGATGACAGGCAAAGCTATGAGATGACTTTCTCTATGGTGCTGAAAGTGGTTTGAGAGCGCACATCTATCTCTCTGTGGCCCTGAACTCATTCGCTCACACAAGGCAAGGATGGCCCTGACTGTCAGACAGACGTACAGACAGACAGACCGCCAGACAGACAGAACTCTGCAACAGTTCATAAAGTTAACACGCTTAAAACTTTTGTTTTGACGTTGCTGTTGGCTCGAATGACTACAGATGAGGTTAAAAGTAAATGTCTTTCAATGGGTCTGTCAGCCCTCGATTCAGTGTTAATTATACTAACAATGATAATAATCCTTGCGTTTGACATAGTGCCTTATCACGGCTTCAAAGCGCTTCACAGAATATGTATTGCAAAGTGCAAATGTCTGTGTATTTTGTGGGCGAAACGTGGCAGCCAATCGCGCACTGTAATGTCCCCACAAACAGTCGTGGATTGAGTGACCAAATTATTATTAGTTGTATTGTGATATATTTACATTATATTATTATTGTTGAGGCAAAACCGAATAAAACATTTCGTGTTTAGAATGAACGGTCCGGAACGGTTTTGAACCTGGATTCCATTTCCAACCACTTTAGAAGTTACCCTTAGATTAAATTTTCTTGCAAACGGTCCGTTTTATACAGTTCAAACTTGCAATGTTAATTTGTCTTGTGTCCAAAGCCTGTATCCCGCTTGCTTTGCAATTCCCATGCTTTGTTTTATGCTTTTTGTGGGGGTATTTACTAACCGACTTCTTGATCGAATAATCTAAAAGTGTATTTTACAAAATGCTCCATCCGGGTGCAATGATTACCATTTGTTAGCAACACATCTAACTATCATGATGATAGGGATAAAGCCACTGACCCCAATGTCAGAATCATCATTACTTATCAATAAACCCTCAACCTGGACTGTTTTGCCAACAAAATATAAAGTCAATTCACTTTACAATATATCCCGTGAAGCAATGTTCCTAAAGACACTGAAAAAGAGGAGATGTATTTATCAGGAAAGAGACAGCATTCAATCCCAGTTTGTAATCTACTTTATTATTTGTCCTGAGAATATAAATGGATGATTACAGTTAGACTGTTGTCCATTATATTGTGTGTAATTTAGTGGATAGGTTCACCGTACGCTGTGCGTATATTACCGCAAAACATTTATCGTCTAAATGATTTAATTATTTGCAGATAAATTGTACATTTATAATTTAAACCCTAATTAAAACGTTGGTTGAATTGAGTCTTTAACTCACTGTGGGGTCAAAGGCCCTTTGAAATGTGTACAGTTAAATCAGGACAACTTCTGTCCCAAACAAGAACACAGATGTTAAATTCCCTTGGGATAGATTTCCATTTTTTTTTAATGAAAAACTTGTTATTTTCTTTGATTTTTTTAAAAAAAAGTCCCCAAAAACGAATGCATTTGAGTGACAAGAGGGACCGTTTGAGCCTTGAAATTTTTCGACCTTTTCTGTGCCATTGCGTTCAATGCAAAAAAAAAGGAAAAAAATAATAATAATTTCTACAGCAATGGATGAGTTGGTTCAGATTAAAATTGCCAATGAAAGGTTTTTTTTTCTTGCTTTAAAGTTATTTTCAGTCAAACTCTGCTTCTAGTAAACTTCTCTCCACCTCTCTCCCTCTCTCTCTCTCTTTCTTTTCTTTCTTTAATAGTATTAACACTTTTTTTTCCAAACCTCTACGGTATTGGTACAGTCCAAACAGAAACTGCCATCAACACCAATGTAAATGGGGAATGAAATCCACACCGAACGAATACATTCGTGTTATACGATAGTGGTCACTGGACCCAAAGTTGTCTCTGTTTTAGATGCAAATACTGTCACATAAGAAACTTTTAACAGTTCCAATTCCATCCAACACCATCCCATGGGCTGGAAATGTGCCTCTGGCCGTCAAAGTTGGTGGAAAATACTAATTTATGTCACATTTCAAGGCAAAAAAAAAAACTAAGGTTATATAACTTGGGTAACTCACACAACTCTCTTTCTCCCTCGTTCCCCTCCTGTGGTGCAATAGTCTTCTTCTTCTTATTCAATGCATTCAATAATTCAATCCATTCTTCTTCTTCTTATTCAATAAATGCAATAATTCAGTACATTCTTCTTCTTCTTCTTCTTCTTCTTATGCAATAAATTCAAGGAAGGACTCCGCTCTTTGCTTCAAAGCCGCTTTGCGTTTGAGGATAAAAAGTTTGCACCACCTCTCACGAGTTTAACACAAAATAATAATCGAAGAGGTTGGAAGGAAAGTACAAAAGGCGTTGGATAGGGATAGACAATAATTATTTATTACCGTTGTTTCTCTGTGTGTTTCTCTGGGAGAGAGAACGTTAAATTCGTGCAGAATTGTGGTAGTTGCTTTTATTTATTTATTCATTTATTTATTTATCCGTTTCTTTCTTTCTCTCTCTCTCTTTCTTTCTTTCTTTCTTTCCTTCTTTCTTTATCTATTTATCTATCTATATTTATTTATCTATTTATTCATTTATTTATCCATTTATTTCTTTCTTTATTTGTCTATTTATCTATTTATTTGTTTATTTAGTGATTTATTGATTTATTTTTCCGGGAGTTTCAAATTAATGAAATAACTGAAGAGTTTTGTTTTGCTGCTGTTGTCGGTTTTGCCTTTTTGTCTAATTCTCCACTTGAAAAATAACCGACAGCGCTTTCCAGACAACGAACGAGTTCATCAGAGATCAGTCGTTGGGTTTAAATAAAATACCTTCAAATCGTTTCTGGATTTAAAGATCGTTCTTATCTTTAAAGGGGTTTGAAATATCTCTGATTGACTGGAATAGGGAGTTATGAGTTACCTTTCGTGTGTGTGTGTGTGTGTGTGTGTGTGAGAGAGAGAGAGTGTGTAGGTGTGTGTGTGTGAGGTGTGTGTGTGTGTGAGGGTGTAGGGGTGTGTGTGTAGGTGTGTGTGGGTGTATAGGTGTGTGTGTGTGAGGGTGTAGGGGTGTGTGTGTAGGTGTGTGTGGGTGTATAGGTGTGTGTGTGTTAGGGTGTAGGGGTGTGTATGAGGTGTGTGTGTGTGAGGGTGTAGGGGTGTGTGTGAGGGTGTAGGGGTGTGTGTGAGGTGTGTGTGTGAGGGTGTAGGGGTGTGTGTGTAGGTGTGTGTGGGTGTATAGGTGTGTGTGTGTGAGGGTGTAGGGGTGTGTGTGTAGGTGTGTGTGGGTGTATAGGTGTGTGTGTGTTAGGGTGTAGGGGTGTGTATGAGGTGTGTGTGTGTGAGGGTGTAGGGGTGTGTGTGAGGGTGTAGGGGTGTGTGTGAGGTGTGTGTGTGAGGGTGTAGGGGTGTGTGTGTAGGTGTGTGTGAGGGTGTAGGGGTGTGTGTGTAGGTGTGTGTGGGTGTATAGGTGTGTGTGTGTGAGGGTGTAGGGGTGTGTGTGTAGGTGTGTGTGGGTGTACGGGTGTGTGTGTGAGGGTGTAGGGGTGTGTGTGAGGTGTGTGTGTGAGGGTGTAGGGGTGTGTGTGTAGGTGTGTGTGGGTGTATAGGTGTGTGTGTGTGTGAGGGTGTAGGGGTGTGAGTGTAGGTGTGTGTGGGTGTATAGGTGTGTGTGTGTGTGTGTGAGGGTGTAGGGGTGTGTATGAGGTGTGTGTGTGTGAGGGTGTAGGGGTGTGTATGAGGTGTGTGTGTGAGGGTGTAGGGGTGTGTATGTGAGGGTGTGTGAGGGTGTAGGGGTGTGTATGTGAGGGTGTGTGAGGGTGTAGGGGTGTGTATGTGAGGGTGTGTGAAGGTGTAGGGGTGTGTATGTGAGGGTGTGTGAGGGTGTAGGGGTGTGTATGTGAGGGTGTGTGAGGGTGTAGGGGTGTGTGTGTAAGTGAGAGGGACTTAAAGCTAAATGAAGTGCAACATTGTGCTGAGTGGCTCTCAACCCTCCAGGTCTGTGTGCAGACTGTCCTGGGCTGTGTGTGTGTGTGTGGGGGGGGGGGGGGGGGTGTTGCTGGTGGGGTGGGGGTTGTGTTTGGGTTCAGATGAGATGATGTGACCCCCCTTAAGGCTATTTTCCCCCCTTTTTTTTTGCTTTGGTCTCACTTGCAGCACGCCTGCGTGATAGCTACAGGGGACGTCCTCTTGTCTGGTAAGATGAGTAAAGGGAAGCAGGTGGATGGTGGAGGGAGGGAGAGAAAAAAAAGAAAGGGGGGGGGGAGGGAGGGAGGGAGAGAGAGATGAGAGAGGCTGGAGTGTGTGTGTCATTGAGCAGAGAAGCCAGGCAAGGCAAGGCAAGGCAAGGCAAAGGCAAGGCAGGGACCTGCATGCCAGGGGGTTGTCTACCTGCAAAGGTGTTCAGAGATGATGGCCATGAATGGCAAGCAGCATTTCAGCATGCACCCAGCTCTCCAGGAGCCCAAGTACCCCCACCTCCAGTCCAGCTCGGATGCCATGAGGAGAGTGTGTCTCCCCAACCCTCCAGTGAGTATTATTGCACAATTACTGGCTTTTAAGTGAGGCAACATTTTTTTTTTTTTTTTTTTGTTTGACAGGCTGCTGCTTAATGTTTTTTTTCAGGCAACCACCACCCCACACACCCACACACACACACACACACCCACACACACACACACACACATCCTCCTTCCCCACCCACCCACCCCAACCTCCACCCCCAGCACAAGAACATTCTCTCTCTCTCTCTCTCCCTGTCTTTCTCTGTCTCTATCTCTCCATCCCTCCCTCCCTCCCTCCCTCCTTCTGATCCACATGCCTATTCAAGCAAAGTCTCTCTCTCTCGCTCTCTCTCTCGCCTTCATATTAATTTTTATGACCTGGGCTTTGAGTGAGTGAGTGATTTTTTTTTTGCAAAATGTTTTTTAATATGGAGTTGACATAATTCCCCACTGAGACCCGCTCCAAATATATGTGTGTGCTTTTTTTTTTCTTTCTTTTTCCCCCCTTTTTTTTTTTGCAGCTGCAAGGCAATATATTCGGGGGCTTCGATGAGAGTCTGTTAGCCCGGGCTGAAGTTCTGACTGGGGTGGACATTGCTGTCCACACCAAGAGCCACTCGTTCAAGCCGGACATTACTTATCACACCATGAGCAGTGTGTCTTGCAACTCTTCCCCAAACACCTCTTCCATCTCTCACCCACCGGTCCTGGGCTCCCACCACCTGCACCAGAACTTGGATGGAGACTTGTTGGACCACATATCTCCAACCCTGACCATCACCGGGATGGGCGGCGCTGATCCATCGTCCATGATCTCCACTCAAGTCCACCCGCACCACCATCACCACCACCACCACCACCTGAACGCCTCCATGGGGCAGCTCCACCAAGCCATCTCCATGGCTCACACTCACCCGCTCTCGGCTCACAACGCCGTGCAGTGCCTGAACGACGTGGAGGCTGACCCCAGAGAGTTGGAAGCGTTTGCGGAGAGGTTCAAGCAGAGGAGGATCAAGCTGGGGGTGACTCAGGCCGACGTGGGCTCGGCTCTGGCCAACCTGAAGATACCAGGCGTGGGCTCCCTCAGCCAGAGCACCATCTGCAGGTTCGAATCCTTGACCCTCTCGCACAACAACATGATCGCCCTCAAGCCCGTGTTGCAGACGTGGCTGGAGGAGGCGGAGAGCGCTTACAGGGAGAAGGTCAACAAGCCCGAGATGTTCAACTCGAACGAGAGGAAGAGGAAGCGCACCTCCATCGCCGCCCCGGAGAAGCGCTCCCTGGAAGCCTACTTCGCCATCCAGCCCAGACCTTCCTCCGAGAAGATCGCGGCCATCGCCGAGAAACTGGACCTGAAAAAAAACGTGGTCCGGGTCTGGTTCTGCAACCAGAGACAGAAGCAAAAGAGGATGAAATATTCGGCCACGCACTAACGAGGGACGTCAAAGGGCTGCATCATTTCTTTCTGAGGGGATGCGATACCTCTTGAGGATCCCTTTTTTTTTAACAAAAAAGGACTTGGGGAGTTTTGCAAAAAATAAAATAAAATAAAATAAAGGCGAAGGTAAGGAAGACCAAGGTCCATCCAATTCGCCCTCCAACCAGTCGCTCCGCAGGTTCGTGTCCCGAACTATACACTGTATTTCCCTGAGATATTGTTTTCTTCGAGAAATCTTATCTCGTTTTTTTTGGAAGGACTGAAGCCATTGGAACCGTTTGAATCCACTCCAGTTAACTTTCTCTCTCTCTCTCTCTCTCTCTTCCCCCAATTCTCAACCAAGGTCCACTCAGAGAGAGGGAGAGAGGGAGAGAGAGAGAGAGAGAGAGAGAGAGAGGTGGGAGGTTTGTGGTGTACATTGGGGGCTGTGGAATTATGTTCCAGGAGTTGGATAATAACACTTCATAGAGAGCAAAATGCACCGTTTTTTTTTTCTTTTTGTGTTGTGTGTTGTCTTTTTGCGCCTTTCCAATTCGCAATTCTCTCTCTCCCTCTCTCCCTCTCTCTCTCTCCCTCTCTCTTACTCTCACTCCACTGCAAAGTCAGTTGAAAACTTAAATAAGGTCTCTGTGGTGTCTATTTTGAATTATCCAACATTAAAATGCTTTGTTTTTCGTTGTTGTTGTTGTTGTTGTTGTTGCTGTTGTTGTTGCGAAAACTACAACCACAACTGTACGCATTGAGCGCCTTGAAATGTGAATTTAAGGCGGATTTTTGGTTTCCTTTAGCAGAGAGAGAGGTTTATTTTAGCTTAGAATAAGCCACACATGTGCTGATTCTTTGCTTCTGCTCCCAATGCCTTGTGAGATGTCTGTCCTGAAACGATGGCACATTTTTAATTAATATTTAATGCTGTTTTATTTATTTCCTGTGTTAATAACGATGTGTTTAAACACACACATATACACACATACACACACATATATACACACACACACACACAGGGAATGGTGTACACTGATAATTGTATCTTAATGTGGATTCAGGACACGTTTTCGATTCATGTATTCGGATAAAGTATTTTTTATTTAAGAGCAAATCTTTCTTTCTCCACCACCATCAACCACCACCATCACCCCCCACACCTCCCCATCACCCCCCCACACCTCCCCATCACCCCCCCACACCTCCCCATCACCCCCCACACCTCCCCACCACCCCCCACACCTCCCACCACCCCCCACACCTCCCCATCACCCCCCCACACCTCCCCATCACCCCCCACACCTCCCCATCACCCCCCACACCTCCCCATCACCCCCCCACACCTCCCCATCACCCCCCACACCTCCCCACCACCCCCCACACCTCCCCACCACCCCCCACACCTCCCCACCACCCCCCACACCTCCCCACCACCCCCCACACCTCCCCATCACCCCCACACCTCCCCATCACCCCCCACACCTCCCCACCACCCCCCACACCTCCCCATCACCCCCCACACCTCCCCATCACCCCCACACCTCCCCATCACCCCCCACACCTCCCCATCACCCCCCACACCTCCCCATCACCCCCCCACACCTCCCCATCACCCCCCACACCTCCCCATCACCCCTCACACCTCCCCATCACCCCCCCACACCTCCCCCCACACCTCCACTCCTCGTCGCTTCTTGTATTTCTTCAACACAGTCGCTTTACAGTGTTTTAAAAATAAATATTCGTTGGGTTTAGAGGGTTTGGCTGCACAAACCTCCCCACTCAGTACAACAGGGAGAGAGAGAGAGAGTGTTCATTTCATTTCAGTGTTAAAAGACAACACAAACGTTAAGGCAAATGCTATTGTAAGGAATATGTTGATGTTCAGTTTGGGTGTTTTTTTTTACACATACACTGTAGATAGTTTATTCATATTAAAAAAAAGTATCTGCTCTCTTCAGATCAAAAGCACTGATGTCAGGGACCCCGATGATGACTACTACTACTACTACTACGTCTGATAATCCTTAGTATAATAGAGAGTTATCACCACAAAACGCTTCCCAGAATATACTGTTAAGGTGAATTGATTGGGTATTTTGTGGCACACAGTAGTGTCGTGGATTGAATGACCAAATTATTGTCAAATTGTTTTTTTTCAAGAGGAGAGGAAAAGGGTGTTGTTGGGGGAAGAGAGAGAATTATTGGGATGTCTTTTTCTCGTGATTTTTGAGGAATCGTAAGTGTTGTCGTTCTTGTTGCCAAAATCCAAAATAAATGATAAATGCTTCTGAGAGAGAAAGCACATTCATCCAACAAGAAAAAAACCCTATATATATATATATATCTTAAGGACAACGTCGATGTCAAGGCAGATAGTTTATTTTGATCTATTAAGGGTAACGTTTACTAAATGCTGTGAAAATTATATTGGGGTTTGGTTGACCATTGGTTTATCCTGTGGTTATTTTTTTTTTTTGGGGGGGGGGGGGGAGAGAGGTGGGGAGGACACGTTTGCTCAGTACCAGATATCATTAGTAAAAAAAAATAAGAAATAATAATAATAATAATTTATTACACCACCGTTTCACGTCTCGAAGGGTCTCACACACTGTCGAGTACTTTGCAGGTCGAGAGAGATAAACATTCGCCCTAAATTCTTCATTCACTGAATAAGTCTTATAGTACATAATATGTATAATATATTGTGAACAGTCTCCACCAGTTATTCCTGTTTGCAATGCCCTTTATTAGCTAAATGCTCATCGACTGTGACCAACACCGACACTGACACTCAATCTGTATCAGAATCCCAGGACAAGGGTGTGTAGAAAAAAGACTTTTTTTTATATAAAAAAAGTAGGGATTTTTGGACTCTCAAACAGCTGTTATATTTTGTTTAAACATACTCTTTCGAAATCTAACCGGACACGTTCGATCTGTGTTTTTCAGATGTTTCTGTATAACTATACACATAAATACAGAAAGAAATAAAGAAATAAAATAAAGAAAATAAATGATTTGAAATTCTAATGATGTACTAGAGGTTTAGTGATGACACACACACACACACACACACACACACATACACCTATATATATATATATATATATATACCTTTGTTTGAGTGTGATGTAGTCTTTTGTTCTGGAGAATATTTCTTAAAAAAAATAAAGTCTTTATTATTGAAAAAAAATGGACACGATTCGATATTGACTTCACTTCAGGTCAAGTTGCAGTGCCTCAGTCACCAGTACTTTGTTTTTCACTTCACTCCAACAACGATTCATTTACATTTATAAATATATATATATATATACACAGCGATTATATATATATATATACATGTCGTGCAAACGAGGGATCACACTCTCTCACACACTCTCTCTTACACACACACACTTTCTTACACACTCTCCCACACTCAAACACAGACTCTCAAACATACTCTCTTACACACACACACTCTCTCACACACACACACACTTTCTTACACACTCTCCCACACTCAAACACACACTCTCAAACACACTCACACACACACTTACACACACACTCTCTTACACACAGACTCTCACACACATACACACTTTCTTACACACTCAAACACACACTCTCAAACACACTCTCTTACACACACTCTCTCACACACTCTTACACACGCACTTACACACACACTCTTACACACTCACACAGACGCTCTCACACATGGACGCACTCAGACACTCACACACACACACTCTCAGACACACACTCTCACACACACTCTTACACACACAGTCGCACAGAATCTCTCTCTCACACACAATCTCTCTCACACACACACACTCACACACACACTCTCTCAGACACACACTCTCTCACACACACTCTTACACACACAGTCGCACAGAATCTCTCTCACACAATCTCTCTCACACACACATATATATACAGCGCCTACGTGAGAAGCGCTGTATAAATTGTTGTTTTTGTTTATATATACACATATATATTTGTGTGTGTGTGTGTCTATATATTACTTATAATTATACAATCACATTATAAATTATAGTGTAATAATTATATATTACAAATTATAGATAATTTGAGAACCCCCCAAACCACTGTGAACTCCCGTATTTATCATTTCAATGCAATTTAGAAAGAAATGCGACACATCACATTGCACACGAATGTCATCTGGTGTTCATTTCCCCCCATATATGTATATATATAACCAAAGGACTATGTTTTAAACGAGTATTAGCTCTAATTTGCTGTAATGCTGGTGCGGGACGTGCCTTTTTTTTCTCCCCACGACATAAAATAAGCAACGATTAAGTAAGAGAAGGGATCCTCTGGGTTTGTGATTTCACAGGGGAGTAAATGGTCATTTTTATTGGGGAATAACCCGTTATTTTTGCAGGCGTTTCCCTCCAGCTGCTCATTAACCGATCTGCGGGTTTTTTCCCCCAAGAAAACGTTCACGTCCACGCAATGGGAACACGACACAGACACACACACACACACACACACAATGACAAATCACAACGTGTGAGTGTTGTGAGTAAATCGAGCAAAAAAAAAAGCAAATTAAAACCCAGAGGAGGCGACTCACAGTCTTGATCTGCAAACGCAGAATTGTCCCTTTAAACGCACACAGTCACTAATTTATGGGCTCAAAAGACAAGACCTCCTCACCAATAAACTCTGCATTTCTCTGGTTTCTCGTGGACCCGTTTATTCCCTCTTAGTGTCGGGGTTTACACGGAGTGTCATCTGGTTTGTGAGTTATTATTGAGTGACTGAGACCGTATCGCACACTCTCTCTCACACACACAATCTCTTACACACACTCTCTTACACACCACTCTCTCTCTTACACACACACTCTCTCTCTCTTTCACACACACTCTCTCTTACACACTCTCTTTCTTATACACACACTCTCTCTCTTACACACACTCTCTCTCTCTCACACACTCTCTTACACACACTCTCTTACACACAATCTCTTACACACTCTCA